CAGGCAGATCCACCCGGAAAATTTTCTAGTACATTTTGGGTGGGTCTTATATGTAAGACATAAAGCATTCTCAAGAAATAAACAAGATTACTCATTGAGCCGTATAAAGAAAACAATTGGTTTCTCTTTCAAAAAAGCCACCATGATTTACTATGAAATGTGATCATAATAATAATAGTAGTGGACTAAACCAAGAGAGAATAAAAAATATGCATCCGGGGCGCCTGGGTGGCTCAGTCGTTAAGCGTCTGCCTTCGGCTTGGGTCATGATCCCAGGATCCTGGGATGGAGCCCCGCATAGGGCTCCCTGCTCAGCGGGAAGCCTGCTTCTCCCTCTCCCACTCCCCCTGCCTGTGTTCCCTCTCTTGCTGTGTCTCTCTCTGTCAAATAAATAAATAAAATATTAAAAAAAAATGCATCCATGAGAAGGTTAACCCCATTAATCCTTTTTAAAATGTTTACTCTGTGAAATATTTTGAGATACCATGTTGTCTACACACACGATTCTAGTGGATGTTATGAAGACTATTACGATTCTGCAGGCTGGACTGGCTTCTATAGTAACTACAAATATCCAGGGAACGCACAGCTAATAAAAGAACAACCTAGTACTCCCAGGAGGGTCAAGTCCTCATGGCCTGTGAGGATAATAAATAGATTGGAGATACTGGGATTGAAGAAGAGATGTCCTATGTAATCACACCAAAAAGGTATGTCCTTTGTGGTGCAAAACACCACTTCTCATTTTCTGAGAGAATACATAATTTATGTATTTGGTTTGTTTGCTTAGTGTCAGTGTCTCCTACTAAAATGAGTTCCATGAATGAAGGGAGATTCTGTTTTGTGTTCTGTTGTATGTTCAATGCCTGGCACCTAGTTCATGAAAGGTTGATCTAGTCAAAGAGCTAAGAAGAAAGGGCGAAAGCATGGGAAGGCAGATTTTTGGCTCAACACACAGGCTTTTGTAATGATGTATACTATCTGCAGGCTGGGCCAGTAAGTCGTGCCTTCTCTAGAGCTACAGCTGGATCAAGCTGACTATTGGGCTGGGACATTTTGGGGGATGACACATGGGGGGTGTATGGGCACTAAGTTCATTTCTACCCTTGTGGTTCTGAAGATGGGCCTTTGCCAAAGACTTGACAATGGAGGGAACCCAAGATGATGACATTGTATTGTGAGTGATGATAGCTAATTAAACTTGGGGTATGAAAGATTAGGAGTCAGAGATGGCACTGGTACTCCCAGCTTCAGTATTTTGGTGCCACTGAAAGGAAAAACTGAAGTTCAGTAGAAATGCTGGTTTGTGGGCAAATGTTAAGCAATGGTCATAAATTTTGAGTTTAATGTGTTAGTGGATCACACAGGAGACATCCAGAGGTGATTATGTTCAGGCAGAGATGGAGCTCAGGAGAGGCTGAGGTATGTCATGCCTATTTATTAGAAAAATCCACACCCCTCTCTCCAGGAAGGTATCCGAAAATGTTGCTTAAAAGATGCCATAGGGGACGCCTGGGTGCCTCAGTGGGTTAAGCGTCTGCCTTTGGCTCAGGTCATGATCCTAGGGTCTTGGAATTGAGTCCTGCACTGGGCTCCCTGCTCAGTGGAGAGCCTGCTTCTCCCTCTGCTGCCGCTCCCCCTGCTTGTGCTCTCTCTGACAAATAAATTAAATCTTAAAAAAAAAAAGATGCCATAGGTAAGTAGATCATTTAGCTATAGAATTTAATATAATTATGTAGAATTTAGGCATTATAGTTTCATTTCACAGATGAGAAAACAGAAGCCCAGAGTGACTTTATTGCTTCTTGGGGCCAGAGGTCTAACTTGAATCCCTGTCTTTGGAGTCTGAGCGTGAAGTTATTTCTCCAGTGTTCTGCTTCAGGGAACTGAGAGTCACCAAAATGAGACTCCTCACAATGGGACGGACTAACTGGTTGCTCACTGACAGTGAGAGTGTCCACCACTTGTCCTTGACTCAGCTGTGCCCACACCCCCTCCCCAATTCCAGTTCTAGTGCTTACCACCTGCTACCAGGAAGCCTCACCATAAAACTGCAAGTTAATGATGGTTGCATCTGCCAAACTTTCTTGGATGGGCTAGTACAACGTGCTCCCCAGTACAAGGCTGTCACGCCTGGGCTCTTTTTCCCCTCCTCTAGTGATGATGTTCGCTGTGAGAGCAGCTAATGGGTAGTCAAGTGCAATGGCTTGGGATCTGGGAGAAAATGAGCTCAACAGGGAACCATGAATAAGTTGTTAAAGCTAAGTGGAAGTGAGAAGTGGAGGGAATTTGGAGAGGCAGCTGAGGAAGGCATTGGGGAGCACTGAGGCGACATGGGGGTGAATTCAGTGAGAAGACAGCTTCAGGAGAGCATTTGTCCAGCGACAGAATTACAGCACCTTTTTGTACCCTGGATTGACTTCAGTGGGCAAAGAAGGGAGGGGTTACAGAAATGCTGGGGGAGCCAATGAACTAGGAGTGTTTTCTGGAAAACTAGTTTCCTGTCTCATATGGCTGACAACAGCACCTGCTATACTTTCACAACATTTTGTGTGAAAGCTAAGTTTTATTTGCTATACAAGAAAGGCTGTCCATAAGTGCCCAGCACCCACAGAAGGTGGAGATTGGGTCAATTTTTACTTAACAGGACTGTGCCTTGCATTGGAAAGCTGAGGGAATAGAGATTCAAGGGTTGTGGCTTTTTTTTTTTTTTTTCTTTTCACTTGCAATTTTTGGAACCGTAATTCAGCACTACTGGATTAGGGCATGTTCTGTCACACTAAAAATCATAAGCTTTCCTATGGAGAAAGTCTCAATGTTATAGCTGAAAGAGGCGACAGCCGCATTACTGCTATCCAAAATAATTTATTAACTGTGTCTGTGCAAAATACTCTGGTAGGCACCAAATCCCAGGAGCTTTGCGTTTCAATGAATCCTCTGCTCTCTGCAGTCTTCTCAGCGTACTGTTCGGCTCTCCACCTGTGAATAAAATGGATACCTTGAAAACTTCATCTTGGTGGAGGCTGTTAACAGGACAAGAGAACGCTGGTTCCTGCTAGGGTGGCAATCTTACAGTGCAGGGGAGCTGCATAGGAGGCTGTCATACTCAACTTCTCATTCTCCGAGCTTGTAAATAAAAGCATCTTTCCAGTTTCCACTTTAGACCAGGAAATCTGGGGAGAGTTGACAAGCGAGGTTCTGCATCATCAGCATAAAGCATGCTGATGCTGGCTCTCTAACCCTTTCTTTCTTCCTCGCCCAGTCCCCCGGACTCCCAGGCAGGTCCCACACTGCACCAGGTACACCGGTGACATTGGATACCAACCCAAATCCGTCTAAATTTTACCTCTCACCATCAGTTGTCATGTGACAGGTGTACCTGTGCTTTCATCTACATTTAAAGGCAATGCTTTGTTTTTTAAGAGAAGTTCTCAATCAGCTTGTAGATATCTGCCAGGTGTAACTGCACAAAGCTCGTCTGCTTCACCAGCATCTGTCTGAGGAACTCGGAGGAAAGGTGGCTGTTCATCGAGCAGCACCCGCCATCTGGCCGGGGAGTGCACAGACGCCCTCCCACGCGCACAGGCCCGGCTCCCTTGCCCCGCAGCGTCAGTCTGACCCCGCCGGATCCGTTCGGGAGACGGGCTCACGATCGGTCGGGAGCTGCTTTTGCCAGACACTTCCAAGTGGGGGTTTGCTTGGATCATTTATTTCTCTTGTGCACATTAAGAAACTACCATTAGGTGTTGGTGGGAGGCGCCACTCTGCCTGAAGCCCAGCCCGTCCGCGGCGGCTCCGCGCACACCGCACCCGCCCGGCCGCCAGAGCTCGCCTGGAGCCACCTCCGGCCCGAGGTCCGCGTCGCCTGGGATCCCCGACGCGGTCTCCCGTTTCACCTCCCCAAGCGTGACCGGGCAGCGGCGCCGGGGTGTGATTTCGATTCCTCTGCGGATTGTGGGGTTTCCTCCGCGGCGGGTCCAACAGCACCCGCCGCGGACGCCCCGTGCGCCCCCGGCCCCGGGCTCGCGGCGGCGACGGCGCAGCTCGCTGGAGTTTGACTCTCGGGCGGCGGCGGCGGCGCGGAGCCGCAGGCGGCGGGAGTGAGGCGAGCCCGGCCGCTCGCCCTCCGCGCTGCGCTCGGATTGGTCTCTCCCAGAGAGTGCTGGCCGAGGGTTGGCTGCGGGCCGGCTGAAGAACAGGTGCACCTTGCCGCCCGGGCTCGCGGAGCAGCCGCCGAAGAACGCGGCGCGCCGGGCCGGGCGAACGGCGGCAGCGGCGGCCAGGTCGGCCCCCTGTGTCGGA